AAGGATTGCCTGCTCGGTAAATGGCTCAGGGGCTGGGGTCTCTTGTTCAGTATAAGGCATTGTGAACTGTTTCAAGCCTTGCAACTAACCATCACCCTTGTTTCTGTAACCAGTGGTTTGTTCTGCTGGTTTATCCTATTTGTATTGGCGCCACAATGCCAGGAGTTTGGTTGACACTTCCACAGTGATTTACAGATATGAGCTATTTTTGAATCTTCAGCACCTGAAGGCTGGGCTGGGGTCATCGTCTTTGACCATCAAATGCACAGCTGCCGTCCTGGGAAGAAGGAGACAGCACAGCATGCTGATGGTTGGCAAGAGAGCTGGGGTGCTCGCTGACAAGCACCAGCTGTTGCATGGCTTCCAGCTGATATAACCCTGCTCCTCCCAGAAGGGCACACCACGCCAAAGCTCAGATGCATCCTAGTGATTTGCTGGTAGGGGTTGGAGTGTCTAGGCAATGATTTCAGCCGCAGCAAGCTTCTCACCAGGCATTTGAGATGCTGGTGAACCCATCCTCTGCTGGATTGCCTAAGCAATCCCTCCTCGCACCTTGCTGCCACGGCTGAGATGAGAGCTAGCTCCGTTATCTCATTAGAAGTCAGGTGAGTTCCTGCAAAATCTCATGCTGAGCTGCACGTCCCCTGGATCCATCAAGAAGAGACATCTGGAAGGGACCTTCTGAGTCCTCAAGACCTGTCCCCTATCATGTCATTGCAGACAGCCACCTCATAAATCCCTTTATACCCTGATCATTCATCTGCATGGAGCTGTCACGGTACTGCCACTAGCACTTATCCCCATTTGTTTTGGATTTTCCCCTCACAGGGAATACTTCTGAGCATTACAGCTCCTCCTCTACAAATACGTTTCATTGCAGAGCGGGGAGGGATTGAAGGAGCCTAAAAAAGTCTCTGCAAATAGAAATGAAAAAAAGCTGAAAAGTAAATGGATGCTTCATAGCAGTAATTATAGGTACAGCTCATTAGTTAAGTATGATCCCCAGTTCCCATTAGAAGACTCTGTTTTCAGTTGCTGCGGAAAAATATTATGTGATCATATAATTAAGGACTGCGTCCTAATGCAGTATGTACAAGGAGCCTGAACTAAGCCTTAATTCTAGCAATCCCTAAGGTTTGAGGACTTGGTTTTGTTTGCAACCTTTAATAGTTTTCTTCTTATGTAGTTTTTGGGGTTTGTTTTTTTTTTAATGAGACTCTAGATAAAATATTTCAAAAATGTTTCCACAAACAACTTGGGAATCAGGTTTTCCAGCGTAGAATTATGGTAAGAAGTAAAGAGCGGGATAGATGGATTCCCCCTGTTACAAATGTGAGCTAGAATAAGATTGCAGGTTTTAGAGAGGCCCGTACTGGTTTCTCACAGGCTGCAGAAGAGGCTCCGAACTCCTCGGCATCTCGTGCTGTTTTCAGAATCACCTAACATGGAGCTTTTAGGATTAAAAGGGGAGCAGTTTTCAGCACTCACCGCTGCTTTGGGACAGGTCTAAGCAGATGGCTGTTGAAACAGTAGGAATAAAGATATTTTAAAGTGGCAGGTAAAATTGTGCAAAGGCCTTCTGAACAATAGTTTGCGTGGTGTTGCTAGCTGAGCACAATCCCATGCCATTCAGACTTCCTTCATCAGTTCTCCCAGGGTCCACAGACTCATTTCTGGAAACGCCAGCCCGTTGCACTTTCCAGAACCGGCTGCCTTTTGAGCAGGATGTGGATTCAGAGCCACAGCAGCAAGCGTCCCATGTAAAACTGCAGGTGCTGTGGCCAAAACCTCATCAGTACCAAGGTGCAGTGCTAAAGGTCATAACTTTTATCATTGGCCTGTCTTCATGGCCATTCAAAAATGACATACAGCTGTGAAAAGGCAATTGGGACTCCTGGTGGAGGGGATATCTTTTATTAGACCAACTAGATTTTTGCAAAAAAAATTGTTTAATTCTTTTTTGCAAAAAAGTAGTTGGTCTAATAAAAGATATCACCTCTACCATAAGTCCTGATTGCTGTTTCCTCTAGACCGATACGGCTACATCCTGGATACCTGATACAGCTGTGAATGCTTTTTGTTACCTTACATCATGTTATTATAATATTATCATATTATTATTATTATTATTATTATAATAATATTATAGTAAGATGTATAATAATAATATTATATATCTATAATATAATAGTATTATATTATAATAATATGTAGTATATATTATATTATATGTATTATTGTTATAATAATACGTATCATATTATTATAATATTTTTGTATTATGCTGAAGTTTATCTTTGTGTCCCTGGTACCAGAAAGGTGGCAGATTTGCAGTTCTGAAACACGGTGATTGGTTCTCTGGAAACCCAGGAGCTGAAAGTCTGAAATATCCTGTCTGGCAAGCAAGCTCTTTAAAAAGAGGACGAAAAATGTCTAGGTTGCTGGCTTAAGGGGAGCCAGTCCTGAAAACTCATCGATGTACATTAGTGCTATCCATTTACCTTGCGACTGCTGCATCGTCCGTGCATGTCATTGCTGTACGTTTGAGAAGAGGACGTACGAGTGCAATGAGGACTGCAGACAGATGGAGCGCGTGTGCTGTCCTAAAGAAATCACTTGCCCTAGCAGTCTGAGAAATGCTAGCGCTCTGAGTTAAAGCAGGCAGTGAGCTATTGTCAAGGAAACGCGCAGTTTGGAGCAACACTGCCTTTACTGGTAGACCTAAAATTAGATCTGCCATCTGTGTTTTGATTTCAGTGCTTGCGCATATGAGTTACCTGCCACCCTCTGCTTAAGGCAGGTGAGGGATTTAGGTATTTGCACAGCAGGAGAATTCTGCTCCCTACCCAATACTGCAAAAAATTGGAGGAAAGAGCTGGGATAAACCGAGCCAGCCTGAAATGTTGCCTTGGCAGGTAACTAAAGCCACCCGAGCTCAGGGTGGCTCACCTGGCCTGTTTGTATTGTGGTTTGGGCCTGTCTGGCTAGAGCAGGAGTCTCTTCTTGCAGCAGATTCAACCTGTGATAAGTCCGAAGGTACCTGCCATTTCATAAGAGGGGGCCTACTCAGGCAAGGTTTCCATCGAGATTTGCATTTATTTTGATCTCCAGTCAGCAGATGAATGGATTTGGTGCATCTGCCTACAAGCTTGAGAGACTTGCTCATGTGGCTCCTCTTCCAAGGAGGATTTTTTTTTACTGATGATGTCTCATCCCACCTTTCCAAAACCCTGGTAGATTTTTTTCCCCAGAGAAAAGGTCACCAAAGGCTGCTGTTCCATGTTCTGCCTGTCATCCTTGTCACAGTCGCTTTCAGGAGAAGAGCTATCAAAAGGATGCTTTGTCCTGATTTATGAGGGATTTATTAAGCACAAGGTGAGGAGAGAAGGGACCTGCCTCTCTTTGCCGTGAGAGACTCAAAATTTCCTGGGACAAAATTTAAATGAGCTGAAAATCCTTCTTAGCCGTAATGACAGGTCCCCCATCTGTCCAACATCTGGAGACAAGCACCTGCAAAGCAGCATCATACAGGACGTGGTTGATCTTCCCTAAATCTCTCTTCCCACCCAAACCTTAGTGCACTCTCAATAAAAATCAGTAACAGAAACAGAGCTGCTGTTAGGAAGATTTTATGCCCACTGGCTTCTGTGGACTCAGGGTGAGTCCTTATACACTAAGTAACCCTGGTGAAGTCAGCAGGACCCCATAAATCAGGGAAACATTGGTTGCGGTGTGATTAATGGGAGACTGTAAATTGTCAAGAGCTGTAATTCAACTGCACTTGTCAAAAACTAATGAGCACCAGGCACTTAGTGGTGCCACAGTCACTGTTTCTTTATACTTTGCTTACTCACGAGTATACAAAATGCTGCAATATATGGCGGGGCCTGCCTGAAACTAAGGCGATTTTTGCTAAATCTTGGAAGAGGCAAATGTGCTCTGTGACATTAGCTCCTTTTCGGTTAGGGAGTAATATGAGGACTTGCTGGGCTCTGAAGTTGTCTATGGGAAGCAGTGCATTTGCCCGCTAGGCCAGTGGTCTCCAAACGTTTTTGATCGCGCACCCCTATCAGTAAAAAAATTTTGAGCACGCACCCCCAGTACATGTATATTTATAGAAATAGAAATAGAAGTTCTAATATTTTCTTCCTGCACCCCAATGAATCGTCTTGCGCACCCCACTTTGGAGACCACTGCTCTAGGCCATTGCTTTCAATTCCAGGTTTGCGTCTGATGGATGAGTAGGGTAATGAATTGCACCAGCTCGTGTTGTATATCATGAACCGGTGCCCTGGTGCCAGTGCTTGAGGGAATGAGTATCCGTATCATCAGCCCCACCATCTCAACCAGAAGGACTCGGCCTTCTCGTTAGCAGTCTCTCCAGGCTAAACTAATCTGACCGCAGAGGCGACCACTGCAGCTGGCAGCTGGAGCCCGTAGGAAGCTCAGCATTGAAAAGCTTGCACCTCTCTGCTCCGCTCTTCTCCACTCCACTGCTTCCTCAGCCATAGGGAAACAAAAAGGCTTAGAAAGAAGCAAGATTCAAATCCAACAAAAAAAAAGTGGGGGGTGGGAAGAGGAAGCTACATCAAGTAGGAGAAGGACATCAGGTACAAGGGACTGTAGTTGTCTTGTGTGTAGAGTCACAAATGTCCCTTATTCTGTAACTCTTGCACAGACTTGCATTGCACTGCAGCTTGATTACCGGGCTTTCTTTTGCTAACTTGCAAGCCAGATGCCAATAAATGAAGTTCCCTTCAAACTTGCTGTCTTGTGACTTTCAGGTCCTCCATTGTCTCCCACAAAGCACCACAACTTTCCTAAGCATCTGTCTCACATTTCCCTAACGTGTTAATTAGCACGTTGTCGCTCACACCGTGGTACGCTTTCCTGCATGTGTGACAGGCGGCGACGTCCCAGATGAACCGTGTCCGCACCCGGGTGGTGGCACAGCTCTACTGCTTTGGTGTCTAACCCTTTCCCCTGGTTGTTTTTCACAGCTGGGGCACTCAAGGTGACTTCAACACGACGCACGCGCTTCCCGCGGTGAAGGTGAAGCTGTTCACGGAGAGCACCGGTGTGCTGGCTCTAGAAGACAAAGAGCTTGGGCGGGTAAGGAAATCTCACATTTCTCGATGCCTCTTTCCGTCTTGGCTCAGGGGGCTAAGGACACTGCAGTGGTGGCAAGCAGAGCCTTGGGACGCCACACCACAAATAAGCGAGCAAACTAGAAATGGTGCTTTTCATTGCTGGAAACCAGCGTGTCCCTGGTGCTGGCTTTGAGTGGCAGTAGTTCAGCTGGAGCGAGCAAGCGTTGGGTATCTTTTGTGTGATGCTGGCAGGCCTGGTCCCCCCAGAAGGCACACATGAAAATGCCCTTTGCCAAGCTAAAAAGCGAGATTGCTCTGAAGTAGAAAAGAGTATTTCAGGCTGGGCTAGGGGGTGCTGGGTTGCTTTCAAACATGCTGGAGGAAAATAGCATTGAAGGGGCTGATAGTAGTGACTATTTAGGAGGGGGGAAATCCTGGCCTCGTTGAAACCTGTGACTCCCCTGGGGCCAGGACTTAGCTCTGGGAAGCGCAGCATTGCTGCAGACCTGGGAGGTCGGTGTCATCTGCCAGGGCTCTCATTAGCCAAGAATTTGGATGTTATGGCTTTGGCTACAGACCCCACTTTCTTCCTTCACCTCCCCACCCCTTGCTGCAATCCCGAACGTGGACCCCAGTCTTTGAGATGGATTGTCCTCCAGCGCCGTTGCCGACTACAGCGTGCCCACGGAGAGTACTTTTCTGTTGCTTTATGACACTTCAGCGAGTCGTCATTGATTTTTTTCACAGCCTGCAGCTATACAATTTGTCTTGGCTGCCGCTGTAATTGGCAGTGAGCTCTCTGCCGTCTTTTCCTCCGCTCTTTAGGTATTTCAGTTTGGCACATCCACTGCAGCCATTTTTCTAAAAGTGAGCCCCACTCCGCAGTCCAGGCCAGCATCCCAGGTGCCCGAGCCACCCTCCAAACGTAGAGGGATGAGGTGAAAACGAAACACAGAGCCTCCGATAAGCTACTCAAGGATTATTCACATTCAAAGAAAACTTTTCAAACATGTTAAATACGTGCAGGGTGAAAATCTCTGAGACGCGCGTGTAGCATTGACATTTAAATCCCGGCTGGGCTGAAATGTCACAGGACACGCCTTCAGGAATTATCGTTCCAAATCTCAGGAAGGTGGAACGAAAGGACAGAAGCACGCGGCTGCTTTTTAAAACTAAAGAAAAGGGCTGCAAACCAACTGTATGCAGAGAGGCAAAGGGCAAAGGCTATTTCAGGAGCAAAGGGGTGGAGGGTAAGTCCATTCCTCTGCTTTTTTGATACCCGAGTGCAGACAGACTGCACAAAAAAAAAGGCATTTTAGGAGCAGGAACATGGTGACAAGAAAACAGCATGTCTTTTTTAAGTCTTTATCGGACCATGGATGCTTAGACTTTGGCCTGCTTGAGAGCAGCAGCTGGAGGCACCCCCCAGAGTAGTTTCTCTATTGCATTTCCAAGTTTATTGTGTGTACTAGGACTAGTGGGCAGGGCTTGCTTGGGGGAGACTTCTGCCTAGACCATGGTGTCGGCATAGCCTATAAAGTCCTCTTTATATTCCTCTAAACACAGCAGATCTTCAAAACCTGATCAGCTAAAGCCAGCAGTGGGTGGTGGTGATGAATGTCCTGGCACATTTGAAACCCGCACACTCGTTTTGTACCAGCCTCCAGGAAGCCATGCAATGATAACTGTTTTTGGTCTGAGCTGGAGTGAAAGAAGCCCATCTCATTACAGAAGCAAGGCATAGTGTCAGATATCCCTGCACCAGCCTTGGAAAAGTTACAAAAAAAGAGCTAGGGGAAATAAAGAAAACCTCCCCAAAGAAGGGAGCGTGGCATTCACATGCCACCCGTGCCTCCTACATCACCACAATGTGCCTCGTGTGATTTCCCAGCAGCAAGGAAGCTGCCTTACCTGCCAAGACCCATGGTCCATAAGAACAGAAGCATGTAAGTGCCATTCTGGGTCACATCTTGGTCCATCTAGCCCAGTAGCCTGTGTCCAACATTGGCAGAGGTGGATGCTTTAGTGGTAAAGCTTTGAATACAGTCATCTATCCCCTATTCGTGACCCTTCCTGACATCCACCATTATTGATAAAGCAATGCTGGGAAACATCTCCAACTAGTCTGTACAGTAGGTATGAATAGATTTATCTTTCATGCATTTGTCTAGTCCCTTTTTGAGCCTGGCTCTGCCCTTTGCTTCTACCTCCTCCTGTGGCAGAGCATCCCACAAGTACTTTTCCTTGTTAGTTTACTAATGTCAGTAGTATTCTGGGACTTGATGAAGAACAGTTCCCTTTGTCCGTGCCATTCATGATTCTTTAGCCCTTTAAAATATAGATTATATAGACCTTGCATGATTTTTATAGACCTAGACCTCTGGTTCTCCATCCTATCTCTGCCTGTTCTGAGCTTTCTATTGAGGGGTCTGCAGTGGCGTCCAGCTCCTTTTTCCCTGTGTGGTGGCTGTTGGGTTAGGTCCCACTTGCTTCATAGCTCTTATTCCAGCTGAAGAACTGTGCTTCTTGCCAGGTGGCAATGGGGAGTGGTGCTGACTTTGCTAGTCCTGGGAACAATTAACTTTGCCTGTCGTGAGGATAAAGAATTCAGCCCCCCGGCAAAGAGCAAGCCCAGTTGCCGGCGAAAGACTGATGAGCCAGCTCCACTGATTCATTTTCACGCTGAATTCAGCAGGGGACCATCGCTCCCTTTTGAGCTCCTAAAACCTAAATCACACTGACCAGCACTGGTGTGCCCGGAGCGCGACTGGGTGATGTCTCTGGGAGCACGGCTCCTGGCGCGCCTCAGTGAGCTGCATTTCGGAAAGGCTCTGTGCCTGGATGTGCCGCCTTCTGTCTGCTGCCAATGCTTTTCCTAATGGATTGGTTTGGGAGTTATTTTTAATCTAATAATTATATCAGGAGCACGGTAAGGCCCTGATTGGGCTGTGCATAGAGACACAGACGTGTCTGAGCTGACGCGGGAGGCAAGCAGAGGCTCAGAAAGAAAGGGAAGCTTAGGCACTTTCCTGCACAAAAACACCCAGTTCTTGCAGGCGTGCTTTTGTGGTCTGACGAGCGCTTACAAAGCTCGCATCTCATTGCAATAGCTAGCTTGGCAGCCGGCCTGTCCTACTCCCCACTTAGCTGCATCTGTTGGACGTGAGAGGTGGAAAAGCCTCGCAAACCTTCAACTTCTGGACTCGACAAGTGCAAGTCTGGGTTTTTTTAAAGCCAAGGTGCAAGTCTGGTTTTATTGAAGCCAGTAGTCAGCCACTGACCTGAATGGAGTCCAGCTTTCCCAGTTGAGCAAGGCAGGATGAGAGGGCCCATGAGAAACAAAAATCCCAGTTGATTCCTTCCCCCCATGAAAACAATTTGGAAATCAGTCAAGGCAAATAGCATCCTACATGTGTTTAATAAGCGAGGCAGCTTTCCTTGAGCCAGATGTTTTATTGGGCTGCATTAAAGCCCCTCTGATCCCACCGCCTGGCTTGGAGCTCCTCTGGACGTGCTGTGAATTAGCACTCGGCTCCCATGGCACAAGACGCGGACTAAGCAGATGGATGGACGGAAAGGGATCACTTATGTCCTGCTCTTTGGCGCTATTCCGAGCCCGTAGACTCACCGGGCCACTGCCCCAGTCGATGCAACTCAGCACGGCTTTGCTGCGCCGGTAGGGTTGCATTGCTCGATGCCAGCTGAGAATCTGGCCCGTGTCTGCCCTGCAGAAAGGGGGGGACCTGAAAAGGTCGTCGTTCTTCTGCAACGCACGACAGTTTGGCATCCAAGATGAATTTTCCCTGCTGCAAGGTGATACTGTTGGATGTGCATTTTAATTTCCGAACTGATTCAGTCAAGAAGCAAAAGAGTGTCTGTGGTGAATTATTCATTTCAAGCCAAGCCAAAAGCAATTGCTCCAAAAGAGGATATTTGTTCAGACTTGCAGAAGGGAGGGAATCATCTTTTGAAGGCCCTCATACTAAAGTGTTTGCACCTGAAATGCTGTGTTTTGTTCTGGTTGTTTGGGGGAAAGTGTTGGTTTTGTTGCATTTTCTCACGCTCATCAGGTCTCTAAAATGGCCTAGGAAGTGCAATGTAACTGAGCTGCCCTGGCCCGACAAACACTTAGGCCTGAAAAAATCATTGACCTTTCCTTTTTTCACTCCCCCCGCAAATGCTGTACCTGTGGTATTTTGATGCCAGAGGTGTCCCAAAAACAGTCTGGCTTCTAAGAACAAGCAGAAAACCGTGAAAGAGGAGCGTGCTACAGAAAGAATGGGAAAGGCAGCTCCAGAGCAGTCTATGAACGTCAGGAAAGAGCAAACGGTGTCTGTGCCCATCCGTGCATGTGCCCATGCCCAGCCCCGAGGCCCGCAGAAGCTGAAATGTAGTAATCCAGAAGCCTCCATTTGGGAAACGAAGTGATTGAAACACATGCTTGCATTGCTTTCCTTAACGAACGTAATTTGGTCCTCCATGTTACCAGGATCTGTACCAATAGCAGTGAGTGTGAAAGACCTCATGTTTCCTGAGCATTTATCTCCAAACCTTTTAGGGTTTAAATCTAAGGTTTTCACGCTCCCCTTGGTAAACAACTTCTGTCTGTGGCATGTGGTCTGCGTGGATGCCCAGCTGAATCACCTGCTGGAAGCTTTCCCTAAGATTCATTCACAAAGTGTGAATTATTCTCTGTTTTGCTGACTTTTGCTGCATATTTTTTTTCCTAATAAAAAATATAGGATTTTTCAAATTGCTTCAGACTAGAAGGGAAGGAGCTGTGACTTCTTCCTTTCCACGCAGCTCTGGTTATCAAATTAACCTTTGTGCTTCTGCCCTGTGCCTCTCGTTGGTCACCCTGTTGGGTCCAGAGGTTTGGACCATCCTTTTGGTTGCATGTGTGAACAGAGCAGGTCCCAGATCTGTCACCGGGTACAATGATGATGAAGGATTTTAACCAGCAGTGAGCTTCCCTCTTTTCTCTTCCATTCTCTATGCTTTCCTCTTTAAATGACTTTAATAAATCTTTATTAGTAGCAAAAGTGAATAGGGAATGATATTTTTAAAGCTATCCGCCGTACCACTCGTTACTTATTATGGTAATTAGAAATTAGTAAAACCTGGCATCTCTGAGATGGGCATTCAGTGAACAATTGCTCCTACAGTTCAGGCATGACTGCAAATGCAAGGCATTGGGTTTCTGCAGTCTAGGAGGTTCCTTCCAGTCTTGCACGTCTATATAGCAGCAGGCAGTTTTGTTAGATCCTAAAGGCTAAATACCAGCTTTCTTTCCAAAGAGTCTGCCCTGCACATACGAGAGCAAGGAGGTTATGTTTTGCTGCTCCTGGGAAAGTTCACCCCAGTTTAGTATCAGCCCTTGAAAATCGGCGCTGTGCATGGAGTCAGCAGCAAAAGACAACCTCCACCCTACCTTAAGTCCTGGCTCAACCTCAAACTGGCTTGAGTCCTGGCTAATACCTGGAGGTGCTAGTGCCCAACAAAATATTTGTAGTCATTCTTGTAAATATGGACAAGATGATGAACTTTTTTCCTCTGGTCTCATTCTCTGAAAACTGAACCGTTGTTAGGAGAAACTTCCCCAAAGAAGCAGATTCATAGCCTGGACGATGCCAAGGCGAAAGTTAGGTGACGTTAGAAACGGGGCCTGACACTGCCTGTTGGACGATGCATGAGGCTTGCACTGGATGAGTTGGAAGTGGTCTTTCCTGGGATGGCTTTAAGATGGAGCAATACTACAGTGATATATGCAGAAGGTCAAAATAGATGGCGGGCACATTTTTCAAGATTTAGAGAACAAGCTGAAATAGCCAAGGGAGCTGTATAATCTAGTCCCTAAATACTGGAGTTTGACTTGGAATTTAGTGAGTGAAATCCTTCCTCAATTGGTGAAAGTCTTTCTTAAATTTTGCCAGTGCATTCAGTCGTGTCTCTCCTCCAATGCTGTTTTTGTCACACGCAGGTGGTTCTTCACCCAACACCTAACAGCCCCAAACAATCCGAGTGGCACAAAATGACTGTTTCCAAAAACTGCCCGGACCAAGACCTAAAGATCAAGCTCGCAGTGCGAATGGACAAACCCCAGAACATGAAGCATTCTGGGTAAGTGCTCTGGTTCCGCACTCTCCTTGTTTCAGCTACACAAGAGAAATAACTTTTTGTCTGAATTCAGAAATAAAGAGAAAGTCTTTTCTTTTCAGGTCCACAGACGGTCACCAGAAGAATAAATATAGAAATGAAACAAGTTCCCTCATTTTAATGAACTTTACATATTTTTAGCATCATCCCTTTAATGCACTTGTATGCATCAGCCTAATGGTTTGAATTCTTAAACAGTACTCCTGAGGAAATTAAAGGGATTTTATTTTCCTGTGTCAGAAAATCACAAGTGAGCTGCCCAGCTCTTTTATGGTGTGGGGAGTATAATGTCCTAAATTATTCTTTGCTCTACTGAATGCTCAGAGCCATGCGTGGGGGGGAAAAAGGCTTTCTGCTTGAGCTATAGAAGAAATAACATTGTTATTTGTGCAGAGCTTTATAAATGTAGAATTAAATTAATTCACATACAGGCGGCACAAGAAGGTACAAGTAGGGGTAAGGGAATGGCATTAAAAAAGTGAAAAGTGGTACCTGAATAAGAAAGAGAGTTTCCTGGCAAAGCGCTCCCCCAGGCAGTGGGTGAGTCTCTTGGAGGAGCACTGACATCCTCATCCCTTGAGATTTTGGAAGCTCTGATAGATGCAACACAGACTAGAAAAGTGCAGGGTGGGGGAAGGGGTTTGGTGAAGATCCTCCTCCATCCTCGTGAGCCCAGGTCTTCGCTCAGCTGGGATTGTTAGGAGCTGCACACTCAGATCCAAGGGCAGAAGAGAGCTCTGTAATTCCTGTGCTCATTTGTTATTTCTTCCTTGGCCAAGGTGGAGTCAATAGGGAGGCAGCAGTTGTGAGTCCAGCCCTGATTTGTAGAAGGGTTTCTCTCTTTGGTCACATCTGTTTCCTTCCAGCTTCTGCTGGCAACAGAGTTGATGAGCTGAAATGTCTGTCCTGCTCACTTCAACAACCATTTGATTGATAAGATGCTGCTTAAAATTGTGTACTTCAGACAGTTAGCTCATTATCACAGCTGCCTTTGGGGCCCAAACAGAAGCCCATTAAAGTGAACGAGCAATAATCCATTGACTTCAGTGGCCTTAGATGGGTCCCTAGGTCTGATTTGCAGAGAACTTGTGACAAAAGCATTACCCATATCTCATAAGCCCTGGGGAGCAAACTCTGCTCAGTTACATCTGTGGAGAAACTCCACTGGCCTCACTGGAGTTATTCTGGATGATGCAGATTATTCTGGATTATTATTGTGCAGGCATAACCGAGAGCAGGATCTGAGCACAGCCTCTGCTGTGAAGTGCTTCTCTTCTGCGGCACTCCTGTTCTGGCATGCGGCTTTGTTGTGCAATACATTTAGGCTGTCAGTCAAGGATTTGACTGTTACTTGTGCAAATATAGAACAACTAGAGACAGCATGTTGCAGCCCTCGTCAGGACTGAAATCTTCCGGCGTTTCACTCCTGACACTTGTTGAGAAAACAGCACTCCGTTTTGTGAAAATCAGCTCTATGTTGGGACTTGCAGTTTTTAAAAAATTGTTCAAACAGAAAGCCTCTATGCAGAAGGTCCCAGCTGGCTTTCAGGCTTACTGTGGGGCTAGCATTACCAGAAGTGAAATCTTAGCTGTACTGAAGTCAATGGCATAACTCCTTTCCATTTTAGGATTTCATGGCATTATTTCTTTTTTCCTGGTTTGCATCCTAATTTACGTTGAGATCAGAGAAGTGCCAGTATGAGACCATACCATCTCATTTAGGTTGCCCATGGCAAGTGTGTACAGGAGCCATGCTGTCTTTGGACCTAAGGAGCTGTACCTGCGTCATGATATGACACCCAAAGACCTGCCCCTGACTACAGTCAGACCTAGACATGTGCAGATATGTGTTTTAACATAGAGATCCACCAGCATAATGAAAAGCTACAGTTTTTATATTTATTGCTGGAGAAACAAGGTGAAGGTATAAAGTAACATGTGATGCACTGCAATCACCATAAATTTCTAGCACTGGGCTTCTAGCACTGGGTGATGTCTCTGGTTCCATTATTGCTATTTTTGCAAGTGGCTGTATTGTGAGTTTGCCGTGGCAGCTACCACATGTGTTTTCTTGGAGAAAACCATCAGTGGAAAGGCTGAATTCCCTTCCTCATTTAAGAGCATCCAGTTCACCTCCATTGCATAATCAGAGGATGCCCAGGAATTGGTCGTGTGCTCGTGAACCAAGTTATTTGGTTGGGTTGGTCCCATTTTTCCAGGGGCTACCCCCTTGGTTTTGGATGTGCTAAGTGACGTACTGGACGACAGCTCCCTCAGCAAAATGGTTTGATGAGGGCTAGAAAGCAACGCTAAGGGTTGGGTTTTTTTCCCCCAGCCTTTCCCCTATCAACATATTCTTCTGACTATGCAATTGCCACTCAGCAAAATGAAAGGACTGCTATATTCAGCAGCTCCAAAGCTGCCCTGACTTCATACCCAGGCTGATCTCTTTGCAGGTTTTGGCTCTCATTGTAGATCCTGTAATTTATGCTTATTGTGCCCTTGCCATTCATTTTTGTCTTAAAAAGGAAGAGGAGGAGAGGAAATAATGCTGAAAAACATTAAGACTAAAATAGATTTTTATGTTTCTGTCTCTGCAGAGTATTTTGACAGCAGAAATCGCAAACTGCTGCACTGTTTAAGAGACTCGTAGCTGTTCCTGATTTTGTTTTGACTTTAGAGTTTAGCTATGGAGAAACAACGCTGAAGCGCAATAGGACCATCCGTTGTCACTTCTGAACTCAGTCCAGCTGTTCTGTATTTTTTTCCTAGATACTTGTGGGCCATTGGTAAAAATGTCTGGAAGAGATGGAAGAAAAGGTTCTTTGTGCTGGTCCAGGTAACCCATTAAACTGAAATTCAACCTTAGCTCTCGGTGTTAATCCCTCAGGTTCCTTAAAACTGTTTTAACCATTTTCATGCTATAAAACATGTTCAAATCTGATTTACGAACCACTGTAGTTCTCAACTCTGACGTACTATGGGAGGCTTCTTAAGAAAAATATTACCTGCAAATCGGTCCAGATTTCAGCCTCCATCTCATAGCATCCCTGCAGTAAGTGTGAAGTGAAATGAAGGCAAACCAACAAGGCAGGATGAATGAGGGAAGGGGAAATGAGCTCAGCCTAGCGGGATCTGTGATTCTTGGGTGTGGGTGAAATTCTGTTTCTACTCGAGTTGGTGAAGCTGTGTGATCCCCACCCGGGAGCGAGACTTGGTACCATCTATGAGGCATCTAAGCAGTAGTTAAGTGACCAGGTATCTAAGTTTGATCCTATTCCACCCTGCTTGAGCCCCTGGAAAACCCTTAATGCAAAAGGTGGGTGAGGACCTTCTCCTCCTTGCTGCTTGTGACTCAGTCTGAAGGCTAAGATGAAGACGCCTTAAAAAAACTAGTTAAGTTTTCCAGGGACCTTTACAGGTCATGTTTAGAGGCTCAGACATCCACTACATGGGCCAGGCTGCACCCTGGATGTTCATCTTCTCTCCCTAGATTTAAGGCTTCACATGGATAAGTACTGAACAACCTCTCATTATCTGCAGCCCCTCACCTGGCCATTCTGCACATTCCTGTGAATTTTCCACCTTTCCAGTTTTGGGGACATCTGTAAATGGGTTGAGCGATTGAAAGAAATTTCTAAAAAAAAAAATAATAATAATAATCAGACAGGAAGTAGGTACCTGTCTTGTAGAAGGACTGGTTGGGGATGGAGATGGTGTAATTCAGTGGATCCAGAAGATCCCTTGTGACCTCTACACAGTCTGGAGCTGTGCTGGCATTGGTAGGAAGGGAGCTGGCAGGGTTCATCCCATCCTCAGCTGCTGTAGGATGATGCACATTTTTAAAGAATAAGAAGTGCACCCAGGGGTGCTCATGCCTCTGTGTTTTCAGGTGCAGGTTACAGCCATCCTAAAGTGCCCCAGCAAGGTGGAAGAAGGCCACCTTATACCCCTGCCCAAGGTCCCAGGCAGTTAACTTTCGTTCCTTTTGCCTGCTTATTCTTAGCCACGTCGAGGCCGTAGGTTACTGCGTTTATTAAGAGCAACTAGATTATAGGATAAGGGCCTCTCTTAGCCTCCGATCCTGTAATTGGTTTGTCCTGGCTCCTATAGGAACCAAATCAGATGCCTGAATTGTGATACTTTTAAATGGATGCAAATCTGAATAAGTGGGTCTCCCTTCCACTCTTGTGTCCTTCCCCCTTCTCTCTTGCATCTCCCCCGACACCTCCATGTGGCAACGTCACCTTCAGACACATGCAGACATCCAGAGGAGTAGGACAGGGCACAAGTATCCAGGCAGGAGACTGGTTCCTGTATTAAGAGTGCGGGTGCAAGTTCACTCGCTGCTGGAGCACAGAATTGGTTCATCCGTAATGTGGGTAGGAAAGTCGTTTCCCTTCTCAGCTGCAGAGAGACAGGCCATCCCAGTGCCTAGAGAGGATGTGTTTCTATGCAGGGGAGGAACGGTCTGTGGTTTGGGCGGTCGGCCTCTTCCACAAGCACACCTCTGCACACCGAGGAGCTGAACAAAGTCACCAAGTGTCTGCCCACATGCCCCTAAGTAGGAGAGGACAGGATCCAATCCAGCACGTGTCATTTCCTTTTGTAAGCGGAGCTGCACCCCTCTCTGAACACTGCCCACCCTGCTTGTAGCAGGTGCCACCCTTCGAGATGAGCAGCAGCAGAACAGCATACTGATTAGATGTAAATGATATGGCAGAGACTCGCTACTTGCCTAATTTTAAATTCTGAGATATGCAGTGTGAAAGCGATGGCAGAATATGGCCCGGAGGTTGGATGGAAATGGGTCCGCAGCATTGCAAGTGAGGGGAATGCTTGGTAAAGGCAATCCTAATGCCTGTGGCAATGGTAAGCCATGAAAGCTTTTAGAGTAAAGGTTTGTTTTTTTTTCCTATGACTGGCTGAAAAAGGTAATGCACGTTCATCCCAGCATACATGTCCACCACTGGCATGTGCCCGAGCTCACTACATCAGCTGATTATGCTCTCCCCAAAGATGCTAACCAGCTCTGGGTCTTGGAATACATAGTTGGGATTTTTATATAGCATATGGTGCCCGCAGTAATTCACTGCTAGACTTAATGTACCCTATAGGAATTGTTGTTTTGTTGGCTACAGTGGAACAAATCACCACATATTGTAATCATCCTTAGGAGCCAGAGGAATAATTACTTTGAGATTTCAGACTGAATCTATTCTTCTTCTGTCATCTTCGCCAGACCCCCTTTTCCACTCTCTGGCAGCATATGGGAAGTCACACTTTTTTGTACCTGGATGACATGTCTGCTGTATGGCTTGAAGCAATTTTTCAACTGATTGTGTGATGGTGTTTGGAACCAGATCAACTTGCTGCAGATTAGAGACAGTTGCAGTGTCTATGCCTGGATCTATAGTTCTGGTGACAGACTCCCTAAACTCAGTATAATTTAGACCAACAGTGACAGTTCCTGCTTTTAGCAAAACTCAGTTGATTCTGGGTAAGATCAAATGAAATCTGTGTTTAAGAACTCCCAGTAACCACCAGTTCTTGGAAATAATGCAGGAAAATAGGAATTGTGTAGGCAAACATCCTGGTTCATTGCAACCAGCCTCTGGACCACAACTGGGATCAAAGTATCCATCATAACTGGGACCAAAGTATTCAGCCCTTGCTTGTGTGGTCCAGATCTACCCATGGGAAATTCCCATTTAAAAGTCAGTGCACGTGTGCACAGTAAATAGGTTTGCGACCTAGAAGGGTTAAGTCGATGCATGGAGAGCTGGCAGTCTGCATGCATGTAGGACGGCATACCTGCCCTGCTCAGGTGTCACATAGGCAGCCCCGTGCTCAAACACGCCTGACGGAGGAGAGGTGCAGCTGCGTTATTGCTCTGAGCTTATCAGAGCACAAAGCCCTGCCCTAAAGCTTGAGGCTGAGCATGGGGGTACCTTGCACCCTGCAGATGTAACCTCAGGAGCTTGCAAAGCAAATTTGCCTCTGGAACCAGGGAGCTAAAGTCTCCCGTGGAAATAAAAACCTGCCTGGCAGCTGCCTGCTCCTTGGGGCAAATTATCTGTTGTTAATCGAATCAAGGTCCATTTAGGAATTTATCCCAAATGTAGCATTGCCCTGCCAGCAATGAGGAGCAGGGCTGAAGTGGAGTAAGTTGTTTCATGCTAGAAGGGCGAGGAGGAGAGTGGAGTCCTAGAGGAGATTGCCTTGGGCAAAATTGCTGTATTGGATAAAGAGCAATAACCGTCCCCATGTATTAATCATTAGGAATATGCTCCCAGTGAGGGAATGGGGTAGGAAAACCATGAATAAGTAAAATCTAATTTTCTAACCCCAAAACAGTGACCCGTGGCATTTTTGTGTTGTCTGTCTTCTCCCTCGGCTCATCTTGCATGGTGTTCTCCTTTTTGGATTTCCTGCTTTTTGTCTCCTCTCCGTCTGTAAAGACACTTAGCAAAGGCAGTCCTGCTCTGGTTTGCTCTCCTTCATTGCCTCTTGTTCAGTCTAGTTCAAGTCTCTTGGTCTGTTCCTTTCCTCTCCCATCTGCCCATGGCAGCCTGGGTCGAATCCCGAGCTTTGCTGTGAATGGAGCCAAGGTTTCACCCTCCATCTTCCTGACTTTCCCTTTTCATGCTGCATATCTCCTTCTCCTCCCCCTTTGCTAGCTACTCTTTCCCCTTTTCTCCTTTTGCAGACTCTCAACCCACTGCAAAGTTCAGTTGTTCTGGAGATTGGTGCGAGAGAAATCGCCATCTCCATTGGCGCAGCATTGTCATCTGGAGAAAAAGCCTGACTCCACAGCCAGCATCTCTCTTCCCACAGCTGCAGTCCAAGACAAACCTGCTGTCACCTCTTAAGCTCTGGGATTTCAAAATGATGCACACAAGACTCCCAATAGTCTCTTACTTTTCGAGACTCTAGATGTCCCTTTGGGCCTAGGGATGACGTCCCTCGTGGAATAGAAAGGTCCGCAAGAAGCGCGGTCAGCTTCTTCCTGGATCAAGGGGTCAATGCTTTGGGGAAGCCCCTGCACACACTAAACAGCTCCTTTGGCATCTTAACCCTGAACTGCATTAACTCTGGCCATTTCTGTGCAACCGTGCTGTGCTGTGGCTGCACTCTCCATGCTTTTTCTGAACAGCATCGGTGGCTGTGCATTGTCTCATCTCTTACTACTCCAGTCTGGACATGCCTTCTGCCGTTGCCCCTGGTCTCAGTGGGACTTGGGTATCCTCTCTGAGTGCAAACCCAGAAATCCCCTAGTGATATTCCTTGAAAGCTGTTCTCCCGTAGAAGTAGAGAGGATTTTTGCAGGTCATTCCCTTAAGTGCTCATGGAAGAGAGCAAATCCACTGTGCACCTTTGAGACTTGTTGTGGGCATGGCCCTCTTCCTGGGATCTCTTGAGCATATATTAACAACCTTTACAGACGCAGGGCAATGGCCGCCATGGTCCCCCTGCTTTCTCCGTGGCAGGTTCGGGTGTGACGTCTTGTGTTGTATCAGGGGTATCTGTGCGGTTTTGCTAAGAGCTTACACAATGGTTTGGTATAGGATGGTTTGCATAGGGATGATCATGCCTCAGGACTAGATCACCTCTGGAGGTCCCTGCCAGCCCTACTTCTTTACGTTTCTATGACTTTGAACGTGGTTGCTTCCATCAGGTTGAACCTGGTTTCCATTTATGTAACTTGCCTCTCTGCAATCATGCAGCAGAGAAAACTAAACCAACATCACAGTGGTTTAAAGCAATGGAAGAATGGCTGCAGGCCCAGCCGGGTAGTTTTTCAGCGTGGTCCCATGAAAATGCGTTTTCTTGCAATACGGTAACTTCTGCTGCATTCTGCATTCGTGGTTTCCTGTCCAGTTTTATTCTTAACACTTGCTGAAGCTTGTCTTGCCTTTAAAACCCCTCCCTGACTCCCATCATCAAGTCTCTGGCCTCATCTCTTTCCACAGGAGGGTCTCTCTCATTCTCTGTGTTCACATTCATGTCATCCCACCTACCTGAGCAGCCCACACCAAGAAATCTCCATCAGGCCCTTTAAAGCCCTCCTCTTCCATGGTGCTTTCCAGTGGCTTGCTTGCTTTAAGTTGCACTGTACCTGCTCGCATCTTAGGACAGGGAGTTTTCCAAAAGAGGAGTTTCTTTGTTCTTGAAAGCATTCATCTGCTGCACAGCCGATGCTTGCTCAGGGCACCGTATCCACCCTGTCATAAAGATGGCCTGAGAGCGATGGCTTTTGGACGCTTCTCTTTTCATTCAACTAATTTTCCTTTTCTGACTTCTGATATGTGACCCCTCTGAAGCATATTATTACTATGGCACCTGCTTTAAATCCTTCATCCCCGGCAAAAACCTCAAGCTTTAGCGTTGTCAACAAACAAAACGGAGACGAGTGAAAACCCATGGACTAAGAGTTCGGTTTTAATTAACAAAAATATCTGTTTCAAATACAGTCGCATAACAGGAAAAGTATTGCCTTGGTTTTAATAGCCTGAGAAGCGAGGAGTTACTTCAGCTCTGCGGTAATAACAAGCCTCAATTTTACCAATATAGGGGGTGCAATGAAAGTGTAATTAACTGCATATGTCTTAATATTTCATGAAGTCCATCTTGGGTAAGTAGATGGTTTGAAACCACAGACCAAATTCTTCCCAGGAGATTTCCACCGAGTCAGAGTAGTGGTATTATTCCAAATGAATGCATTTTGTTATTTTTTAAAATGCGACATGTTGACTTAAGCACATACATGTGTTCATGTGAATGTTGAATTGGCTGGTTCCTTGTTGGCAATGGGGAATGTTTTCTGTGTCTAAGAAATTTGAGAAGAAAAACATGTAGACTAAAAAGAGCCTGAATTCAGAACTCACTTTGTGTGTCCAAGAAGCTGGTTTAAACTGCCGGATAAGTGTGAACTATTGGTGTAACAGTTGCAAGGGAGGGGAAAAGAAACAACAAAAGTCCTATTAGTCGAGGTCAATGCTGCTTTCACATTGCCTCCCTCCAAGACTTAAATTTCTCCAGTCTCCCCAGTTTCTCAGATAACTACTTGAAAGATTACTATCCTGATTATTTGGATAGTCATTGGGAGCTACGAATTGGTAATCCGTTCTGCAATACGACCAGGAGGTGGCAGCAAGATACTACATTAACATGCAATTGAATGAATTGCAAATACACGAGTCCTCTAAAAAGTGTGTTTCTGGGCTCCGGGCTTATTTTTAGGTCTATTACAGTTAGCCATTTTAATTTATGTGTTGCTAATAAAGTGGAGTGCCTAATTTCATTCCAAGTCCATGCCACATAATATGCACGTATGTCACTCGCACATTTTCACTGTTGATCTGTTACTTGTTGATCGCTCTTCTTCCTAGCAATAGCTGGCAAGATGCTTAACATATCCGTTTTAATTTTACTCCCACAAATGGGTGGCCTTTATGTTTGTTGTGAGTTGTTCATCAGAATAATGTGCAGCAAAGAAAAAGGCTTATTAGCACGTGGTGATAGGCATTAGAGACCGAGAGAGGGCAGCCGTGTACCAAGCAGTGATCGAAATACCCTTCTTGCCAGTAGAATGGATGTCTTCTGCTCTAAATAAGGAACATTTTATTAGCAATACATGCCACAGAAATTTGTGCTGCACGTATATTGATAATGGAGCAATTTATCTGAAGTTTGGAGGCAAAATCTCTTAGCTCTTTGACTGCCAGAGAGAGCAAATGGTTGCATGCAGCCTGCCTCTCAAGATGTTTCCTCGCTTCCAAAAAATGCCGAACACGATCCATTGATACGCGAGTTCGAAAGAACTGTCTGAAGTCCAGGCTTCCTCCAGAGGTCAAGAAAATGTCTAAACTAATAAAATTGTGTAAGGGATCCAGGATGTGACACAACCTTAACAAAGTCATTTGAAATCATTTGACAGTAAATTTCCCTGCAAGTTCCTAGCCTAAAGCATGGAGAATCCTTTGCTTCCTAACAGTCTTCTTCCAGACAATCCAGATTCGAAAATGCTAAGTATAAGCTGGGTCTTGATGCAGCCTGATGGCCTCCTAAAGGCGATTTGAGAGCCTGACAGAGACACCCGCAGCGGCAAAGGCTCCCATCAAGAACTTGACATTGAATGTATCGTGTCATACAGATGGTAACTCAGAGGAGTGAGAGCTGCCATTTACAGCACCGATGACAACAGTAGCCGAGATCAGTGGGATTTTAAGATTGCATTAATTTGACTGGCACCTAGCAATTTAGTTCACATTGTTTGTGACAAGGTGTCACTCTGGCATTTGTCTGAGAATGAATGATAGAGTTTCCAAAGCGTGCAGCATCCCCTTTTTGGGGGGAGGTCGGCAGGCTGGGGGGGGGAACATACCGTACGTATCAGCGCAGAGGCTTTGAAGGCCGCTGGAAAAAAATGTGTGAGAAAAGGTTCTGCTGAACATGCTCAGGTCCATAGTCTGTCTCATGCTGGCAATGACAGTGAGAGAATACCATCCCCCACCCCTTTGTCACCAATGGATGGCATGCCCTGTCCAAGCCTCCCGTCCATGAGCATCGTTTGTAAGTGTTTGCACTCTGAACTGCCTTGCTGTGGGAGCCCGGTGCCATCCTAGCTTTGTGGTTTTCCTCAGGTGAGTCAATATACATTTGCTATGTGCAGCTACCGGGAGAAAAAGGCTGAACCTCAAGAGCTGCTGCAGCTTGACGGATACACAGTGGACTACACTGACCCCCAGCCAGGTACGAGGCACCATGGCCGGCTTCTGCTCACCGCTAGAGCTTGGCACCTTTGTGGGGGTCGGTCGGGGCCCGCGCCTGGAAGCGCTTGTTCTGTCTTTGCAGCTGAATGGGACCCAGTTCCTGATGTGTTTGCGTTGATTTTGTCCATGCAAAACTTGCAAGCCACGTGGCCCAGAAATAGATTTGGGGGAAATGGACTCAACAATGAAATAATTAGAAAAAAGATAATGGCACTTAGGTTGGCTTTTACCCATGAGCCGGAGTGAGTCAGCACCCAGCTTCCATGAAAAGTCAACAAGAACTGTGCGCCTCTTGAGCCAAAATCCTGACCCAAGTTTTCACTTCATTTCATCAAACCCCCCGCCTATGCTCATTTCTTGCTATAACTAAGCAAAACCTATATGACATTCGTGTCATTTTTACCTGGACAGCCCTTCCCAAATTAAAGTCCCAGTGGATGGCACAGAAAGCAAGCCAGGGCACCCTTCCTTGTATTCATCGGTGGGCGCAGGAGTCCAGATGCGGATCACCTTCCCTGTGTGCAATTGCACCTCGCTGCTCTGATTTCACTGGGGCTATTCTGAGTGCCAGGATCAGGCCCTCAGGCGAGTTGCAGTACTGCATCCTCCCTGAAGCAGACCTGGGATGTATTGCTTTGACCGGTCTGCTCAGCTTTTGAAGGAGGGCCATGGTGGGCTAAGGGCAAAATCCCAGCCCTGTGAATTCAGTGATAGAAGTCCTCGGGACTTCATGGGACCAGGATTTCCCCCGAGAGATGATCGTGCATGTAGGAGTATGGGTAGGGGCAATTCCCTTCCCAACCGGGCAGCAGCAATGTGCAGCTAAGAGCCTGTTTGCTGCTGCTCTAGATATACTGTGATGTGGTGGAGATGAGAATTGGGCCCTGAATCAGGGGCAAAGACAGCAACACGCGCTCACTCGCGGGAAAAGAGAGACGAGGAAGCCCCTGCTGAGTCTCACCCCGGGGAGTCCTTGGCATTTTCGGGAGAGCAATATTAGCGACAGAACAATTAACAAGAGTGGTGCTGGAGAAGGGACTGCACCATTTGGCCCAAACAGCTTGCTTTCTCTGTGAGAGCTGGGGTGAAAATAAGGGGCTTGACTGGTACACCAAACTGACACCCAGCTTCTTTAAAACTGTGGGGCCAAAAAAATAACCTCATGCACCATTAATGAGTGATGATCGAATTGTATGAATTGTTCCCTTTGACCCCCTCCCCCCACCATCGCACAAGCTCATCCTGTGTTGGCATAGCTGAGAGCCAAATTCGTGCCTTACCGATGCCCAGCGGTAACCGCAGCCTGTGGTGTTACCTATAGATATGGTGGATACGTCCATAGGCAACACGTCCAGGACTGGACATCCAGAAGATGGCCTTTAGCTCAGCTGGCTGGGTACGGGACTTGCTTTGCACCCCTGTGATGTAAGGGTCACCCTAGATGCTCCTTTCTAGCTTTAAGCCATATGAAGGCATACCCCCCCCCCCTTTTTTTTTTTAAGCTGCTTCTCTTTCCTGCCAGGCTTGGAGGGTGGCCGAGCATTTTTCAATGCCGTGAAGGAAGGCGACACAGTGATCTTTGCCAGTGATGATGAGCAGGACCGCATCCTCTGGGTCCAGGCCATGTACCGGGCCACTGGCCAGTCCCACAAACCGGTGCCACCCACCCAGGTCCAGAAGCTTAATGCCAAGGGAGGAAACGTACCCCAGCTGGACGCGCCAATCTCGCAATTCTGTAAGTAGACCCGTTCTCATACCAGCAGCCGTCTCTGATGGAAAGATTTTCTCCACTGATGTGAATAGATTCTCAGAAACAAAAGTTTAACTTTTTTACAAATACTTCATTCTTTTTATCCTCGCTAAGCTGCTTTTACATCAGTGGATTCAGCCTGTGTTTTATACACAGTTGAACCCCAGAGGCGAATGTCTTGGGGAAATTGCTGGTATTGAATAAGATGCAATACTTGATGGAAGAGAGAGATTCTGGGTGGTAAATTTTCAACAGGGCAAAGGCCCGGCCTTGTAGGAGCTTGAGGTTCAAGTGCTGGGATTTACTTTTGCAATTCAGCTGCATATTTAAAGAGGCAGGTAGAAATGTCTAAAGTACAAAACACGACCACTAAAGGTGGTCAGTCCCCTGAAGAAAATCTAAATGGCAGGAAAGCACATGGTCATTTTACCAGACCAGTTAAATGTGAACTTTCAGCAGTTCATCTTTCAATTCTTGATTGCTCTGCATATGCTGTGCATCTGTATGGAGTGAGCTGCATTTTATCTGTAGCCTGAGTCCTGTCATCTGGTAAGTCATGGCTTCAATTTTAAAACAGACAAACAACAACAAAAAAGCTCGTCATTTAAACATAAGAAGCCAGCACAGGTAGGAAAATGAGGGAAGGACCACCCCGTCTTCTCTAAGGTATCGTAATGTCACGTGTTTCTTCATTCTAGAGCTTGTCTATCCCTAACTTTGACTAGGGTCAGTCACATACAGCAAGAAGAGAATAAAGCCTTTAAGTAAAATAAGAAAAAGAAAATAAATGTATTTAGAAAATTCCTTGAATGAAATCAACTTGAAATTGGAGAGGAGGAACTAAAATACTAGCTGTGCAATTGCAGTCAGTTCTGAATGTTTAGGGGTCAGTCAGCAACTCGGAAGAAAATTTGCCCCGTGACATGAAATGTGCTGTGATGAACAGTGTCCTTCACCTGCTTGTGAATAGGTTCAGCATTTTTTACGTCTCATCTACCCTATGCAAGCTGAATCCCTATTGTCTAATAGGTGTTGGCCTGAGGGTTAAGTGACTGAGGCCTAATGAGACAGGCAGGAAGGGAAGTGTAGGACCTGGCCAAATGAAGAATATTACTGAGCGCAGGATTTCACAGGGCAGTTTCTATTTCAGTAGGACTGGGTCGAGCTGACCAGGGCTCGGTGGTCTCCCCACACTACAGGTGCCCGTTGTAATTGTGCTTCAGGGGCATTCTTTTTCAAGCTGGGTGCAACCAGCACCTGCTTGCTACGGCTTCTTGATGTAGGGCTTGGTGCTGGCGTGGTGTACTTCAGAGCAGCCTCTGAGCTGCAGGAAATGAGGGTAGTGGGCAGCATCCCTTGAGCAGCTCTGTGCCAGCAAGCATCAGCACCCTGGGTTCACCCTGTCCCACCCCAGCATCTCCCTGAGTAAGGGGATGATAGCTGAATGCCTGTCGAGGAGTCCTGCAGACCACGAGTTCCCTCCCCTGGGTACGTCTAGGTGTTTTTAGAGTCTAAAACTCACCTGTCCGTAAAGGTTGTGTATGTGGCACCCTCATCAAGGGCAGTTACAACAGGGCATGAGCCAACAGCAGCCTAGGGATGCCACTCTGGAAGGGCATCATCGCTCGTAACTCTGCTCCTTGGCAGTGTGGTCCCAGGACCAGGGGTGGGTAAGTGACACCGCACTCACTGCAAAGCAAGGAGAGAGGGACAGCGGGTTGCCCTCACCCTGTGAATAGGCAGCAGGGGACACGAGCACGCTCCCTCTGAGGCTTGTGCTAGTCACCTCCATGCAGATCCATGCCCTGGTATTTTCCTTCTCGTTCTTGAATGAGCTTCACCTCCCTGTGCCGCGATGCAAGTACAGTCAAGAGCCACCCCCGGAGGGGCCTCTACTCTGATCAGGATCTTCTCCCATCCTCTTCAGCACCAGCTTGAGGCCTTTCTCCTCTGCCTTGGCCCCTTAACAAGGGAACCAGTGGTTTCCCTTCCTGTTGCTGGGGCTAGGAGCCCCTTTGAAGGGAGGGCTGGAAGGGATACAGAAGACCTGTGTTGCCCTCCTGCATCATTCGACTGCCCTGTGGGTTTGGGGATGTCATGCATTGTGGCCTTCCCTCTGCCCTGCCCCTTCACTTTGGCTCATGGTTGTGGATATCTTTGAAGGAACCCTCTTACTCAGATCTAGGAGGAAAGGGGAAGCATGCCATAGCTCAGATCCTCGCATTTCAGCTGCTCTGTTTGTGCCAGCAGCAAGGAGCTAGCACTCGTGCCTAATGCTCGTTCTTGTGTCTGCAGAATAGTGCACACTCCTTGGACATTTCAAAGGGTGCTGGATGCTCAAACATACACAGCCTAAATACGTGACGATTCCTCCCAGGTGCTTGGGTTATAGATACAAATCTGCATCTCAGCTTTTACATTCAAATATATCAAGTATTGCATTTTAAAAAGTATTTGGGTTTGTTGATATTTTTTTTTTTGGTTGTTCTTTTGTGTTGCCTGAAAAAAGGTAAGGAAAACTGTTAAGCAGTCTTGTGCATTTAAGTATATATCCTGCACAGCTTTTTTTTTTTTTAATGGTTTTTTTTTTTTTTTTCTTTATTTACTTTGCTAAACAAAGGAATTGCAAGAGCTTAAATGTTACCGCAGTTTAACTAGTCATTATTTGGTTACTACTTTCATGGACAGAGTAAGCTGCTTAAAGATGGTAGAAGTGTTTTGTGTTACAAACACATGCACACACACAAAAAGAGCCAACACTCCAGTCTTGTGATATAGCTGTCTGCTAAACAGAAACTTGAGAACAACACGTTTTACAGTTGGGGAAACTTGGTAGTAATACTGAATTCATTTGGTTGCCACCTAATTTGATTTAGCAAATATAAACTTTATGCAGTACTCGACTTCGCATCTTCTAGCTGGTTAGCAGCACTTGGCTTGGAAACAGGCAGCTCTAAACAAGGGTGGAGTGTATTTACATGCAATTTAAATATTGAAAAAAAAATAGATCCTGCTATTCATTAATTTGTGTATGACTGTACAATCCCTTTTATGTGGGTGAAACAACACCTGTTAGATTGAAAACTTCTGCTTATTTGTTGTTTTGCTACAATTTAAAAGGAAAAAAATATCTATTAACACAAAGCGATACTTTTTTCTCAAATATTTGCCTTATAAAAGCAAAACCCAAAGCCGTTCATGTTTACTGTTGAAATGATGCACAGTACTGGAGTTAATAATGCTGCCAAGATATATTACACCCTTTGGCAATATATTAAGCTTCATAAAAGTGGCCACTTGTCTGAGAGTACCAATCTTTGTCCGTTCTGTGTTAGTGGTACATTAAACAAAAAAACCCAAACATGCTCAGCTTTCATTTTTTTTAACCCTTTTTTTTTTTTTAAACATTAAAGATTGGTCAGTAATTGTTTTACATATCACTTGTTATTATATTTCATTTTTAATGTCTGTTTATATTTAATAACTGTTATCACATCATATGCAAAGAGTTGGCTGTTTTTGAGAACTGTAATTATTTGTTCCACCATAAGAAATGGCGAGGTTGATTGAGCTTCATAAGAAATGATCAGCCGTAAGTGTTGTTTTCGGTTCTGTTTTGTTTTATTTTAAGTTTCTTTTTCATTCTTTGCTTGAACCCGAGTATTGTAGCTGCTAGGTTAGGGTTCCTGTCTGCTTTCCTGAGCCTTGTTGCTAGTCTTTATGTTATTCTGGTTTGTTCCTTCTTACCCTGCTAACTTCTAGCTGGACTCAAGGGTAAGTGCTTCCCTGTAGCTAGCACAGCTCAGATAATCAGACTAGATTATCTGACATATGCAATGTGCTTTTTTTTTTCTCTTAAATCTTTCTCATGTTTAGATTTTTATAGTAAAAACTTTCCATGTTATTTTCCTGAATTTAGATTTGAAATGTAAGTTTCCATACTGAAATTAGGATGCATGTGATGTTTGCATAATTGCCTTCTCTCCCTGGCTTTCACATTGGCATCAAGTGATCCTCTTAGTAAAGCCAATCATTAACATTCCTATTTTTTTCATTCCAAGATGTAAATATTAATTAGCATCACAATAAAACTGTAAATAATACCTTTTTTTGTTTGTTTCATGGAATTTACATCTAGTTGACTGCTTAATGCCTGAAAACAGATCATTTTGCACTCTGACAATATGGGGGGGGGGGTTTGTTCCAATGATTAGCATGGTGCAGTGCATCGGCAGTGTGGGTTTAATCCTGGAGACCTCAAAGAATAGAAAGGTAGGGTAGGAAACCTGAAGAGATCTAACTGAGAAAGACAAGCTACAGTACTTGTAAGCAGCACAAAATTTAGAAAGTAAAAAAAAAAAGACTACCACATGCAAGCGTGAGATCTGTAGATCTGACAGTTTCCTATCATGTAAACCCAATAAGGGACTCTATCAAAAACTGTAGCTGTTTTATAATATGTATATGCATATGTATATGTATATCATTTCTACCAGGCAGTCAAAGCTATCCACTATGAGTTAAAATAATTCAGTCCCAGTAGGGTTTCTTCCTATTCCCAAAAGCTAAAGCAAACAAATGTTTAGCATGTGGTCTCAAATGTCCTCCTTTATAACCAAGAAATGTATTTTAAATATACTAAATTAAGCCAATGATTATAGGAACTTTCTAATCTCCATTGGTACTTTTCTCATAAAGCTACCTATTTAAACAAACAAACAACAACAAAAAAACAAACTAAAAAGATGCAATCGTAACCTTATAGCATAAAAAACTTTTTCCTCAGATATTTGTTCAGTTTCAAATAAAATCGACACTGTACTAATTCTTTATTTGTGTTTAAAAAGCTGTTCCTCAAACACATGGTGAGTGCATACTTTACTTAAGAGGGGAGTAGAAGCTGTTGGTCATGAGAGCTGGCAAATATGTATTTGGAGTATTCTGAATGCAATTATGAGAAGGAGCAGGTGGCATCATCCCTCCTGACCATTAAACAATACTCCTTTCTTTTTCATTCCTTTTCTTCTTTTATTTCTTTGCATAAGTGTACCCCTGGGTAGCCGGCAGAATTTCTTCACCCCTTCTTAGCAGAGAGATTCTTTTTTTTTTTTTTCCTTTTCTTTTTTTGTTTTTCAAGTTTGTGGATGTCTGACGAGGATTCTGATCAGGCTTGCCACAAATTGTGAACTTGGTGGAAATTCAGGGTTTCCCCCCCTTTTAGAGAGAGAAAGAATGAATGAATTCAGGTCTGACAGCATTACATGTATTTGCACTAGAATGCATTGCTATCCTATTAGATAATTTTCATAGTTGTGTGCTTTAATTGCTTTATTTATATTTACATATATATATATATATATATATATATCTTTACACATATATATCATGAGAACACTGCTATGTCTTCTGTATTGTCAACTTGCAGATGCTCCATTCCAGGAATGCAATGTTAAAATATGAAATCAATTCTCACATAACTTGCATGAATTTAAAACACACTGTAAATCACTTTTTTTGTGCTTTAAAAAGCATTTAACAGTGGCTTTTTAAATTCAGTTTTCTACATGTCCACAATCAATTCAGAGCATTTCAAAAACTATTAAAATTACATGCCATAAAACTATGCTTATCTGATAAAGAGTCATTCGCTAAAATCTACTTTTAAGTTACCGTATCGACCACCTGGTTTGATCACAGATTATAAAATATTATTCACTAACTCCTGACATGGAACAACTTAGATTTCATTTCAAGGCATAGTGTATTTAGTGATTTACAGTAAAATGCATTTTTGATTCTTTGAACCTTAAAATGAAGTCAAAAAATGTTTGCGTATGCAGTAAGGGGGAAATAAAATAAAGAACCAAAAAAGCATGTTAGAATATCCTCATTAGTGACATTCACTGAAATAAGACTAAAAGCCTTCTTCTGTAGCTTTTGGCATGTGGGCAGCTACACTCAGTCTCTTGAGTAGGCATTTGAGTAGTGGGTTAGGTGAGTAAAAAAAAGCTACTTGTTTCTACAGAAGGCTATAACCATGAAAAATAGGAGATATCGATTGGATTGACTTTAGCTCTGGCAAATGTTACGGTATATCTTACACTGAAAGGAAAAGACTTGGTAACAGTCACACAATTAGTATTGCCAGCTATTCAGAAATAAACAACAAGATGGTATTTTAAGTCCTATTCTTTTTTTCTTTCTCAACTAGGACACTAGCCATATGTAATAGCGTTTCCAGTTGTACAAACTCAAGTTCAATCCAGTTTCTAGGTGATTCCTTCCGGTGGTTTTGAACAAGTTGCCCTCCTAAGCGTATCTGTTAGTTCTGCTTAGTCTATAAGACTATGAAGAAACTTAGCTGCTCCTCCAAGAACGCAGTCAACTGTGCGGCATAACGCAACGGGTGTTGAGTAGCCTCCAGTTGTCCTGATCCTCTCTCCCACTGTTGCGTGTAGCTGAAGAAGAGTGAAGTTCCTGAAAAACTTAGCACAATAGTCTGACCACACCAATCAAGACTCCTCTAGAAAATCTGTAAATGAATAGCTGCCATCAATCATTGTCATTCCTTTATTTCATGTCTCCTGATGAGGTTGACTAGTGTCATTGTTTGTTACCGTCCAAACCACATCTTCATTCTTGTAACGTCAAGCAGATATGACAAGCACACATTTTCCAGATGAGTAAGATACAAAGTCACCTTTTAATTTACAGTTATTTTTTTTATATAGATATATCTATCTATATAAACAAATGTGTTGGAAAATGTAAAAGCTGCTCAGTTGCCTTTGGTACTAAAACACAGTCGCTCGCTGCAGAAAATAAATAATTTGGAGTGAAAAATTCTTAAGATAAAATGGCTGCCCAGAGCCTTTTATAACAAGAATTCTTTTATGGAGCTTGTTTCCCTGTCGTTAACTTCACCCATCTCGTAAAAATCTGCCAAAAATCTTGCAAAAGAAACATGGGGAGGGATGGTTGGGGGGGGGGATACACAAATAGCAAGAAAGGGATGTTTGACCTTTTTGTCTGTTGCTTTCGGTTGACAGTAGAAAATAACAGAAGGACTGCCCTGATAGAATAAAGTGGCAGGGTGTTTCTTCATCCTTGTTTTATTTCTTTTTTTTTTAAGCTCTGTCAGAGTGACACTGGCAGATTTTAAGATTCTGACTTCAAACATATATACAAAATGTGTCTGGCAGAAGATCACAGTAGGGCGAGTTAATGCCAACAGGATAAACCTGACAGAGTTTTTCTTTTCTTTTCCTGTCTTTTTTTTTTTTTAATGCTAGGAATGAATAAAATAAAAAATGGAATTAAAAAAGAAGCATAAGGAAAGGCAACGATATCAACTGCAAAGTTGAGTACAAGAGGCTGTTGCCTCTGATTGTGAAGAACGATAGCTCGCACAGTTGGTACTGCCGGTATAACTTTGCTTGCAGGCTTTCTTCTTAGACCACCACCTTGCTTCCTCTAAAGCTAAATCTGTGTGCAGCGATGGTCCAACATGTAAGACAACTTTTCTAGGCCTGTAGCATAATTTTGTCTTGGGCCTTGAATACAGAAGCGCCAACTAACTTGGCACAAGCACCTTGGAAAGGGACTGTAAATAACTAGAGCATCACATCATTTTCTCTCTTTAGTGTTATTATTATTACTTATTGTTCCTATTATTCACTGTTTTGAGAACAGCTCAGGGTCACAAGAATTTGTCTGACTTAAATGCCTGATTTAAAGTGTCTGCAAATAATCGGTACAGTTTGAGTATAAGTAGATGCCAGCTCCTTTATTTTTTATTTTGCCTAAAATCACATTCAGGCTGCACAAACCCTTCTGAGTGATGACTGACTGTCTGTATCTGAAGCCGTTGTTTTACCTGCAGGGGTAGTCATTATTTTAAAATGTTGAATGCCTGTATCAGGTGGGTGGGGTGATATATTTAGTGTGATGATGTGCTTTTTTTCCTAGGGAGAGAGATGTTTTTAGCATGATTGAGTTGAATTTGAGCTTTAAAAATAATTCACTTAACAGAAAATAATACTGAAGAAGGAAAGAAATTGCAAGTTGCATGGTGCATTTAAGAAATAATAATGAAAAAGAAAAGAAATTGCAAGTTGCATGGTGCATTTATTTTGTAAGACCTCACTGAGGGAAGGCAAGTCTAAAGGAGGGCCATCGTTATTTTTTTTTTTTTTCACGTAGGCTGGGTGTCCCGGAAAATTTTGAGCCATCAGACCAGGACAGTATTTTAAGCTAAAATGAAGCGTGTGTATAACGTTCAGCCAAATCACTCTTCAGCAGCATCTCCACTTTGAATCATGCTTAATTTTTAGATCCAAGCAGAGTGATTTGAACACATCCAATCCTGCCTACACAAAACAACTCCCGAACGCAGTCGGAGTCTCATGCTGCAGTGCTGAGCCGTGACGAGGACTGCTATCGGGAGTCTTGCTTTCTGTGTCAGACAGTCGCGCTTTAAATAACTTGAATGAGCCAAAGACATGCAAATAACCCTTCTTGGGAATGCATCTTGGTCAGCCAAGTTCATCAGATACCTTGTATGATATCCGTCTCTTCACACGGTTGCTCTAAGCCAGCCCAGGCTCAGAGAGGACCCCAGGGAGGCGCACAGTTGGGCTGTAGGTCAGAGACCGCTTTGCAAAGACAACTAAGATAAAACTGTTTTAGGTTTAAATCTTCCCCGGTGCAGCAGACTTTGACACAGGTCCGTTCACGCCATAACTCGGTGTGTGAGTTTTGAGCCCATCTGTGCTAGAAGGAAGATGGTCTGTATGCTCATCTTTGAGCAGAGGGCTTAAAAATCATGAGGCAGGTCTTCAGCTCTACCGAAGCCAGGGATGCTCCGACAATTTACATCAGGCGAAGATCTGCCTGGTGTCCATCTGGCGAAGGGAAATTGAAATGTATCCCAGATCAGTGTGAAAGAGGGGAAAGCAATGCACATTTATAATAAAGGGTGTTAATTTGCAAGAGAGGTTCCTAGAAGATCCAGTTAAAGAGATTCAACCAACAAAGAGAAAGGAAGCCCTTCAAACTTGTGGCTGGTTTGCTCAGGGCGAAGAGTCTCCTTTACGGAGCCACAGGATTGACAATGCACCATGGCTCCTAATTGAAAAGTAATAAAATATCTAAGGAGAACTGGCAAATGAAGGCCCGCAGCCAATTTGTCAGCTTGCAGTCGACTCAGAGAAATTTGAGAGCAACAATCTGACTATTAAAAAAAAATAGCCTGATATCTCTGTTAAAGCCATTTTATGGGCAGAATTGAAAACAGTGTCTACAAAACCTTTGGTTGCGTATTCATATTAATCAAATCGATCTCGGCCCAGAGGGACAGAGACGATGGGGCATAATCTGTCAAAGGAGATAGAAACCAGCCTGGCAGCGTGTTGGTCATGTGCCATGATGAGGGACCTGAGGTTGGGATGGACGTTAGATCCTGCGCCTGAGGCTGGCGGGGACAAAACGTGTCACGGAGGTGATATCCTAATTCTCCATGTTGGGAAGCCGGCGCTGCACCTCTCAGCCAACACACACGCTGGCTAATCCGTTGGCAGCTCTGACTGTAGGTGGAGCTGCTTTTTCGCTCTCAGGGCTGGATGTACGGAGTAATACCGAGGGGGGGAAAACAATTGGGTGCAAAGTAATAGGCAGAGACAGAGCAAACGGGGATCAGCAGGTTAAACACCAGAAAGGAAGAAAAATCCCCGCCCCCCACAAACTGCAGGATGTATTCTGAACCTCAGGGTCTAATCAGCAGATTGCTGATAAAAACAAGCATGACCAGGCCTGCTGATTTAAGTATTGCTTGCAGTTAATTGAAATGTTGCATGTGTCCTATGTGTCTGTGTAGTGATTCTGATAGGTAGGGATGAGTGCGTAAAATTAATCCTACAAGTCACTGAAAAAGCCAGAAACAACCTCCTAGAAGAAGGGAGAATATCTGCATCCAGGCAGCTGGTAAAAATACACTGTCTTTCAGAAGTTTAAGATTAAATAGTTAAGGAAACTTCAATCACACAGCGTAGTGAATTGTGTCCATTTAAAGCTCCCTTGCCCGTTTTCGGTTTGGTGTGTGTTTGTTTGTTTGTTTAAGTGTAGCATTTTCCATCCCTCCAGGAACGGGCTGCTTTGCTTTAAAAACAAATATACCTACGACTTTATTCCCGAGGAACACTACATTTTAATGCGTTGTGGTTTTGTCCCCTTTGAGTCTCCCTAATTGTTTCAAGGCTATACAGTTCCCCTAGGAGGTTGTAAACAGAGAGAGGATTTAAATCCTGTTCTGTTTGTTAAGGATTTGGCAAGAGCCTGCATAGTAGGAAACTGAGTAAATGCAAAAAAAAGAGTGAAAAGTGTCTTTTAATTCCATCGTTGTCCATCGGACAAAGCCGGCACCCAGGGGGTCCCTGCGTGGCCACACCCAGATGAAATTGTCTGTTTTGTTTCCATTGGTGAATTTGCTATATTTTTAGTTATACATGTTGAGATTAATTAGTTAGCCCCTAGGAGTCTGTGCCTGAAAACATCACCCAAAGCAGGGAAGTGTGAATACATTGAGGCTATTAATTCACAAAAAAACCCAAAAAAACCCACGGAGATCATAATCATAGCGGAGTAAATTCTGTCTGTCTGTCAAGATGACTAACAGAATCCGCACGCTATCAGGTTACTTTCTCAGTGACAACAACTACATCTCAATTTAACTTATCAGCAATGCTTAAATGAGCATCTTTTTTTTTTTATTATTTCTTTGAGGTAGCATTTAAAAGCTCTTGTTTAAAAAAACAAAACAAAAAATTGGAGATGGGGAGACAAATATTGGCATTTTGGTCCAAAAACAATATAAATGGTTTTATACCTAGGAAACTTAGTCAATTTAGAGAAAAATGCTACTGACATAATTGCATTAGAATGGCAGAATCTATTATAATTAATTACAAATAACTAAACAGGAGCTAATTTACTTTTGGAAGCCAAAAATCTTTTAGCTTCTAGTGTACTTGTAAGATGCAGAATAAGTTATTGGTTTTGTGTTCTGTTTTTAAGTACAGAATAAATGCACTATAATGAGCAGTTGACGAGATGTTAATTCTGAAATCTTTTGCCTAAATGCAATAAGATAGTGATTAAGTGATGCAAGTTGACAATGGGAGGTAAAGAATATATTATGTTTCATAGCCATGGGAAATAAAAGTTTAATGGCATTAGAAGATATTATTTAGCTTTCATGCTTCATATTGTATTTTGGTTGGGGGGGCGGGTTCTGTTTTACATGTCAAATAAAATGTGCTATATTTCTCTAAATGGTGTCTTTCTCTATATGTATAAATGAACAGATGCAGATAGAGCTCAAAAGCATGGCATGGATGAATTTATCTCTTCCAACCCCTGTAACTTTGACCACGCTTCACTCTTTGAGATGGTTCAGCGCCTCACTTTGGACCACAGACTTAATGATTCCTATTCTTGTCTGGCAAGTATATTCTTTGGTCTATAGTGATATTAAAGTCAGAACTCATGCGAGCCACTCCCTTGCTGACAAAGGAGTGACCACTGCTTACACCAGATGTAAATTTGGCCTGAATGGCTCAGTTTGTAAGACACTACGTACGGTGACCTTCCTGTTGTATTGGTGCAGTAACAATGCCGTGTTTGTCCTTTGCATTTGTCTTTTTTGCAGTGCTCGTTCCCTGCAAAGACAAACATGTACGGGGGAAATGTTGCAAACAGCAGCAATGACATTTTGCATTTTCCAGCGCTGCCTTGCAGAGTTGTGGGGCTGAAAAACCAGGGGCAACGAACCTGCCCGGTTCCCCCACCTACCACAGCGGTGTCACGCCAAGAAGGGATGTGGCCTAGAGAAGGTCTAGGCTTGTAAGCTGGGGTCCCACAGAGCTGACCGCTGGGGCAAGGTGAAGTTAGCAGATGTTCAGCCAGTGACGAGCAGCATAATCCAGACTCAGTCCTATTGACTAAGTCGCGATGACTTTCCCATGAAGGAGTTGCAGGGCCCAGACCGTTATCTTATAACAAAAATAATATCAAGGCATCCAGTTAGGACTTTTGTGATTTGGCTGCACAGTGCTTAATACAGTAGAAACCTGGTTCTGGATAGGTGTCCTTAGGCATCAAATAAAATGAAAGTATAGGAGGCTGTCAGTGGATTTGGGGAGATTTTGGTAAAGACTGGGAAGCAACGTACAAGCTTTGACTTGTTGGACAGTCCTGATCTAGCTGAATAAAGTCAATGGGTGTCTTTTAGGGACTTCAGAGGATTTCAGATCAGGCCTGAAATGAAGGTGACAGTCTAGGGAGCCCTGTTCCCCTTACAAGGCAGCCCTTGCAGGAGCCTTGCACCCTGGGGCTCTGCCCTGGCTCAGCAACGGTGACCAGGGACCTTGACCGTGACCTTCAGAGCGTGCGTAGGAGCCTGAGCATGGGACCTCTGCTAGCTGCTCATCATGCACAAGGAAAGCTCAATGTGCTGGAAGTCATCACCTCCTACCAGCAGCACAGGCCCTGAAAAGGAGGAAGCAATAACTCCTCTAAGCAGCACCCAGCTGTCAGGAGGATTCAACACCCTTTTTCTTTTTCACCTGACCAGACTCTCCCTACACCTGACTGCTGTTTTTATATTTTCTCCATAAACAGCTTTTCTCCTTCCCAGGAATAAGTGAATGGCTAGCAGTGAAAGGAAGGGCAGTGGATTTTGAGGAGGGAGCTCTCCTGTTTTAACAAGCTATATGGAAAACCAGATAGGAAAGGACCCTCCCAACTTCCCAGAGAATCAGTCCAAGGTACAGAGAGAAAGTCCTGGGAGAACAAGAGCAGCTGCCATTCACACCACTGTAGCTCTTGATTAAGGCATTTGTTGGTTAAGTTGGTTAAGGGACGAGGAAGTAACACAGGACAGCCCAGACTCCTCTCTGTCCTCGTGGACCTTAGTTGCTACATGTCATTCCCTAAAGAGAACAAGCCAGCTGAGTTTGGGGGACAATCTGTCTGCTCATCTTGGGGAAACACCAGGAGAAGGAGGAGAGCCATGCCAAGGAGGGGTGGTGACCTGCTCCGGGGCAGGGCAGAGTTGGGAGAAAACTTGCCTACGTACCACACAGGGGACTTAAGTGAGTCGTATTGGCAGATTAGGTGGGGACATATATCTGACCCCCTTGGTCCTTTGGAGGATGCTCTCAGCAGCGATCAGCCTCTCTTCCCTGTTGTCCTCCTCCGAGGAAGGCTGTCCAGAAGATGGTGCTGGGCTATCTCCAGCTGCATTGGGATTCAGCAGGTTTCCTTCCTCCCTCTTAGCATGGGTTTGCGCTAGGTGCAAAACTGAAATGATGCAGACCTCGAGGCTTGTTTTTCCTCCTTGGGAAGAGGGTCCAGATGTTCCTGTTAGGCCTGCCAAAAGATTTTCATACCACTGGCTGGGAGGATTTGTTAACTGGCCTGTGCAGTCTTATAGATGCGGTTTTGTGGTGGGGTCCTCTCCAGATGTTTTATGGCAGAGCCCTTTCCAGATGTTTTCCAGCCTTTTACACTTCCCATAGAGGTCTTTTCTCCTGTGCCTCTTCTTGAGGGGGTGCACATGTTTAGGAGGAGCCTGCAGAGGGGACTATGGTGGCTGTGGTGCCCCAGCCTGATGGATGGAGAGGTATGCTCAGCTCTGCCTCCCTGCCACGGAGCCGGGATGATTCAGTCTCATTACTTTCCCACTGTCTGACTGAGACAGGCATCTGTATGAAAACAAACTGGCTGTGACTCATCTCAGATAAGGCAGAAATGATGCTTGCTGGCAGCAGAAAGCGTTCTGGGGAAAGGGCAGAGAAGTATTGTCTGTACCATTTGTTGTGTGTGTCTGCCAACCCTTCACCGGAGGCCTGGTGGTAGGGCCTTGGTCTCCTCCTGGGTTTACAGCCACTGTTGAACTTTGGGGTAGAAGAGGTGACTTTCCTTTTGGGGCCAGGACGCTGCCTGAATCTTGACCCCAAAGTTGCACCCCAAAGGCGTGCTCACATTAAACTTCTGTACTCTTCTTGAGGCCAGCTTGCAGTTCATCCAGCATCCTGATACCTGAGCCCCCTGGTCTCCCCCAGTGACTGGCTCCCCAGATTGCAGCATGCCATTTAGTCAGAGGACAAGCTATCATGTACTTCCAGCTTACCCCAGTCTAACAAGAGATTTCCACACACTTGCCTCAATTCGGAGAAGTCGGCTCTGGTTTTGGAACCATTTCTGCTAAGCTTTTCTCAGGCTTGTGTTCCGTCAGCTACGGAAATGCCCTCGTAAAATATGCCGTGCTGCATCTTCTGCCAGGCGCACATCCCTTAAAGACATCTGTCCTACCCTTTCTGAGCTGAGCGTGAAGCAATGACTTGGAGAAAAAGAGCAGCCTCTGTGGCTGCAGATGTGAGGACGTGCATGAGCTTCCACAGCCTGGAAAGCAGCGCAAATAACTCTGTGGCCTTGGCCCCAAAGTCGTCATTCAGCCCAACCCCCCCCCCCCCCCCG